GAGGGGCAGCGGAGTCTGTTTGCCTTTAGAGTCTTTTGGTATGAATGTACGGCAGCCATAAAGATTCGGTCGACAAAGGTAGTTCTTGATAAAATCGGGTTGAGTTGCGGGCGCTAGCCAGGGTGAGGTCCGGATATAGAGCGAGGTATGAGCGATGGCTCGGATGCAGGCAAACTGAACGTGCGCCAGCGATCACATGTCGAATTTCCAAACGCTCCTCGGGTGCCAACCTTCTTGCATCTGATAGGAATCAGTGAAGCTGGCTTGTAGGTGTTTGCCTGCGCCAGCTGGGCGAAGGCAAGGTGGGGTTGTCTGGGGGCCTTGTGTACATATCTGGCCTAGCTTATGGAGACGGCCACTAGTCCCAATGCAGCGAAAGCCGCGGAGATAGCAATGGCGCCCTCCAGGGCTGCTGCAACGGATCAATAATCGAATGATGACAAAAGGTCGCGGGGCAGCAGCAAACGCTACCCCACTCTCGAGCCTCATGGGTGGTGCAGTCGCGTGTGGCCGGCATCGGGCCATGCACGACCTAGCATCATCTCTTGTCCATTTCGAAGTTTCTTGCCGTGCCTGTTGATGCCTTTGCGCCCCTGAGCTTCACCATCTATCGTCAACATGGCCACTCCCAAGATCAGTGGGCGGGGAATCCGCATCGCGATTGATGTATGTCTCACTATCGTGCGTACAACTGGAGCTGACAAGGCAGCGCGGCGGTACCTTCACGGACTGCGTAGGCAATCCCGGCACGGGCAAGATGGAAGACGACATTCTCATCAAGCTCCTCTCCGTCGACCCCTCCAACTACGATGACGCGCCGCTCGAAGGCATCCGCCGCCTCCTCTCCAAATTCACCGGCACCGAGATCCCCCGTGGACAGCCGCTCGACACGTCCAAGATCGAGAGCATACGCATGGGCACCACCGTCGCCACCAACGCGCTGCTAGAGAGGAAGGGCGAGGACATTGCCATGGTGGTCACAAAGGGCTTCAAGGACTGTCTTGAGATTGGTAATCAGAGCAGGCCGAACATCTTCGCGCTGGATATCCGGAAGCCCGAGGTGCTGTACAAGAAGGTCGTCGAGATCAATGAGCGCGTCACCCTGGAAGACTACGCCGAAGATCCGGAGAGAAACCAGACACAGGCAAAGAGCATAGAAGAGGCCGGAGACAGCGCAGAACTGGTCAAGGGCTTATCGGGCGAGACCGTGCGCATACTACAACGACCGCAGGAGGAGGCGATAAGGAAGCAACTGCAGGACGTCTACGATAGCGGGCTGAAGAGCATCGCGGTTTGCTTGATGCATGGATACACATACCCCAACCACGAGGCGTTGGTGGGCAAGATCGCGAGGGACATTGGCTTTGAGCACGTCAGCTTGAGCCACGAGCTTATGCCCATGATCAAACTGGTCCCACGCGCTACCTCGGCCTGCGCAGACGCATACCTCACCCCCGCAATCCGGAAATACATCGATGGCTTCTCCAAGGGTTTCGAAGGCGGGCTTGGCTCCAAGAGTGTGAAGCGCGAAGAGGGCTCCAAGGGCGCTCGCTGCGAGTTCATGCAGTCGGACGGAGGCCTGGTAGACGTCGACATCTTCTCTGGCCTGAAAGCCATCCTATCTGGTCCTGCTGGAGGAGTGGTTGGCTATGCGCTCACGTCATACGACCCTGAAACCAAGATTCCCGTCATCGGCTTCGACATGGGCGGCACCAGTACAGACGTGAGCAGATACGGCGCGGGACGCTACGACCACGTCTTCGAGACCACCACAGCTGGTGTTACCATACAGTCCCCACAGCTCGACATCAACACTGTCGCAGCAGGTGGTGGTTCGCGCCTGTTCTGGAGGAACGGACTGTTCGTCGTAGGCCCCGAGTCCGCAAGCGCACACCCTGGGCCAGCATGCTACCGCAAGGGTGGCCCACTCACCATCACAGACGCAAACTTGTTCCTTGGCCGCCTATTACCAGACTTCTTCCCTAAGATTTTCGGCAAGAACGAAGACGAAGGCCTCGATGCGCAAGCGAGCGAGAAACTCTTCAAGGAATTGGCTGAGCAGATCAACAAAGAGGTCGCAGGCGGTAATAAGGAGAAGGAGATGTCGCTGGACGATATCGCAAACGGATTTATCAAGATTGCTAATGAGACCATGACCCGGCCGATCCGAAGTCTAACAGAAGCCCGTGGACACGATACAAGCAAGCACAGGCTTGCCACATTTGGTGGTGCGGGTGGCCAGCACGCGGTCGCCATCGCCGAAGCACTTGGCATCTCGCAAATCCTGATTCATCGCTACTCATCAGTGCTATCAGCATATGGCATGGCACTCGCTGATGTCGTCGATGAAAGACAAGAGCCAGAGTCTACAGTATGGTCGGACGAGAAGGATGTGAGAGAGTACTTGCAGAACAAGATGGCAGACCTCAAGGGCAAATCAACAGCTACGCTTAGAGACCAGGGCTTTGACGAAGAGCATGTCCACTTCGAAGAGTATCTCAACCTAAGGTATCGCGGAACAGAGTCGGCACTTATGATCATCAAGCCGACGAAGGAGGAGGCAGAGCAAGAGTACGACGGCGATGAATGGGCTTTTGGCAAGGCTTTCGTCAAGCAACATGACCAGGAGTTCGGCTTTACTCTACCCGATCGCGACATCATTGTCGATGACGTACGAGCTCGCGGCATCGGCAAGACTTTTGAAGGTCTCGAGAAGAGTGTAGATCAGCAACTCAAGGAGATCAAACCAAAGGACCTCTCAGGAGACACAAAGCGCTACGATACCCGAAAGGTCTTCTTCGAAGGCGGCCGGCAAGATACGTCCGTCTACAAGCTCGAAGACTTAGAAGTGGGCGATCGATTGAAGGGCCCAGCAATCATCGCAGATGGCACGCAGACCATCGTCGTGACGCCTGGTGCCACTGCGCTTGTCATCCATACTCATGTGGTGATCAACATTGGTGAGACGGAAGACCAAGATAAGCAGGTTGACACGAAAGAAGTCGACCCGATATTGCTCAGTATCTTTGCTCATCGGTTCATGGCTATTGCTGAGCAAATGGGCCGCGCGTTGCAGAAAACCAGTGTGTCAACGAACGTCAAAGAACGATTGGACTATTCCTGCGCACTGTTCGATGCGGATGGCGGACTAGTCGCTAATGGTAAGCTCATCGCTGAAGTAAACTGAATCAGCTAACGCCAGTGTAGCTCCTCATTTACCAGTGCATCTCGGAAGTATGTCAACCTGTGTCCGCAAACAAGCCGCCATTTGGAAGGGCAAGTTGAAGAAAGGCGATGTCCTTGTCTCTAATCACCCCATGTTCGGCGGTACCCATTTGCCAGACATCACTGTGATCACACCCGCGTTCAGTGGCGACAACATCATATTCTACGTCGCTTCCCGCGCGCATCATGCCGATATAGGCGGAATACTCCCTGGCTCTATGCCCCCTGCGTCAAAGGAGCTTTACCAGGAAGGTGCAGCCATCAAGTCCGAGAAGTTGGTGTCGGAAGGACACTTCAACGAGAAGCGCATCACCGAGCTACTCTTTGATGAACCAGGCCAATATCCTGGCTGCTCGGGTACGAGATGTCTCAGTGACAACATCAATGATCTGAAGGCCCAGGTCGCCGCTAACCAAAAGGGTATTAACCTAATCAACACACTAATGTCGGACTATGGCGAGCGAGTCGTCAAGTTCTACATGACAAGCATACAAGCCAATGCGGAGCAGTCCGTTCGCGCGCTGCTAAAGGACGTATACAAGCGATTCGAGGGCCAAGATCTTAGCGCAGAGGACTTCATGGATGACGGTAGTCCAATACGACTGAAGGTCTCTATTGATCCCGAGAAGGGTGAAGCTGTTTTCGACTTCTCTGGTACCGGGCCTGAAGTGTACGGAAACATCAATGCGCCAGAAGCCGTTACCTACTCAGCCATCATATACTGTCTTCGCTGTCTGATCAGCGAGGACATCCCATTGAACCAAGGCTGTCTCAAGCCTATTCACGTTCTCATCCCCAAGAAGTCGTTCCTCTCGCCGTCTGACAATGCCGCTGTTGTAGGTGGCAACGTGCTCACAAGTCAGCGCGTGACAGATGTCGTCCTCAAAGCGTTCCGTGCTTGTGCTGCAAGTCAGGGAGATTGCAATAATCTAACCTTTGGATTTGGCGGTACAACATACGGAGAAGGCGAAAAGAGCGGCGAACGCAAAGACACGAAGGGTTTTGGATATTACGAAACAATTGCAGGAGGATCTGGTGCAGGCTCGACCTGGAACGGCACCAACGGTGTTCATACGCACATGACCAACACCCGAATTACCGACTCCGAGGTCTTCGAGCGAAGATACCCCGTTCTTCTCCGCGAGTTCTCACTCAGGGAAGATAGTGCAGGTAAGGGCATGCACATCGGTGGTGAGGGCGTAATCCGCGACATCGAGTTCCGCATCCCTGTCCAAGTCAGTATCCTCAGCGAACGAAGAGTTTACCATCCGTATGGTATGGAAGGAGGTGGAGATGCTGCATGCGGTCTGAACATCTGGGTGAAGAAGGTTGACAAGAAAGCCATTGACCAAAACTCCGACTCAAAGCGTCCAACGGAGTCTGTGGAGGATGCGCATGCGCCTACCACTTCCTATGCAGTTGAAACGCTGCTGAAGAAGGATGCCGATATCAGGAAGGAAGATGTAGAGTACAGATACATCAACATGGGCGCTAAGAACACGGCAGCCATGCGGCCTGGTGAACGCATCATCATCCACACACCTGGTGGCGGTGGCTGGGGCAAAGAGGGCGAGCAAAGTAGGGTGCAGGATAAGATTGACCCGAAGGGAAGTTGGAAGGGCGGAAGCATAGCCGGAAGGCAGAGCACTGCGGAGGCCAGTGCGTAGAAGACATCTTTGTATATCTTGTGAAAACTATAACGAACACATTCCACCTTCAAGCACAGTCTGGTGCATGTGACTCACATTGCGGTGTCAACGAGAAGCATCGCCCTCTTAGATGCCCTCCTCAAACCACCGTCTGACTTCCGCCTCGCAAATTTCTCTCCAATCCTCCCCAGCCCCGCCTTCCCTTCGATGCGCCTTCGCCCACCCCTTGGCAATTTTATCCACGACATCCTCTCTCCTACCCTTCCACCTCGGAAAGAACCGCATATTCTCCGCCTCAAACTCATCCACAGCCTCCTTCGGCACCGGCCACGTCTTCCCAAAATTCTCCCCATTATCTAGTATAACATCGCTCACCGTGATGCCATACATGGGCCTGTCCGCCATCGCCCTGGGTAGCAGATGCGTGAGATCTATCCGCCTATACACCATGCAAATATACATGGCGGTTGTGAGAAAGTACTCCAGCGGATCACGATTCTTCTTCGAGCTGGCGGGATACTTGAAGTCGGCGAAACTGATAGCGACATGGATGTGTGGGTGTTTCCGGCAGAAACGTGCTATGTAGATGAGGTCGTCCCATTTTATCGGGCTGATCCAGCGTTTTTGCAAGATAGGTATGACATCCTCCAGCCTTTTGTACTGCAATGAGAAGTTTATCCAGGCGCGTTGTTTTGCGGTACAGCCTGCGAGGAGCAGATCGAGATCCGAGGCATATTTGGCTCGGACGGTGTTGTAGCGGAGTTCCAAGTCAGCTGCTTCTGTGTATAGTTGGCGGTTTACGTGTTTGAGTTGGTTGAATGCGGGGGGATAGGTGCTGTGTTTATTTGGGGGTTGGCGCAGCCCCCGCCATCGAGATGTGGGTAGTGGTGATAGTTGCTTGGAAGGAGCAGTCAGTGCGAATGTGTAGATGAGGTTGCGGAGTTCGCCTGGCAGGCCTAGTAAAGAGGGTGTTGGATGCGGTACATGCGTCTTTTCAGGGCTCTTTGTAGACTGACTGGTTTTGGCACTCGCCTTCGCTTTCTTTGTTGCGTAATCATTGGGGATGTGCGGACCATCGTACTCGGAGTACTTTCTTTTGCGTGTGGTCCAGACCATCTTTGTAGCGGGTTTATTGGGGCGTAAGACCAGTGCAGAGGAAATGGAAGTATGAATCTGCTCTGGAATGCATCGCAGCATCAAGATCGATCCAGAGCATCGCAGCATTAACATTTAAATTACTCTGGTAGGCATGAGAAAATATTGGAGAGGAAGGTCGTGACGCGCATATTCTAGATGGAAACATATCAAGGCTGACCGACTCACCTACTTTCAGCAATCACACCATCACTCTTCCTCGCATTCGCAAAATTCTTACTGTCATAGAACGCAATCATATCCTTCCAGCCCTTCTCCCATTCGTCCTTCATCCACCCATGTTCTGCGACCCAAAGCTTCTCATGCACAACCTTCAACGAGCCATCGCCCTCCCCCTCGGTGGGGAAGAAGCCACCCCATTGTCTTTCCAACTTCGTCCCGGGATATGCACCCTCAGGACCAAACTGCCAGTTCAGGAATGCTTGCTCCGCCATCAAACAATTGTAGTTGTCAGTCTTGACATAGTTCTGGAGAAGGCGAGCGTGCATGCGCAAAGAAGGCGTGAAAACCATTGAACCAACATTGATGTTGGGATGCTTAGCATCGAGATCTTGCGCGACGCCAGCGAAGATATAAGGCTCGCATACCGGGCCGTCCTCCAAGAAGTCATCGAGATGCAGCTTCTCAGGTATGCATTCCTGTATCGGCGCAAGCTCAAACATCTCGTCCATGTTCGACAGCGGAAAAGCATCAGCGTCCAGAAACAGGACGCGCTCAAACTCCGTCTCTTTCCACATGTTGAGCTTGGCGAAGAGGTCTTTCCATCGTTCTTCTACGCCCTCGACATTGCATTCCCAGTGGAGAGGCGGAAGCTCACGAACTAGCGCGCCAGCTCCTTTGAGGAGTGCGCGTTGCTCGTCTGTGACATATTCGGCTACGAAGACGATGAAGGGGTGCTTTTTACTACGTGTGCGGGATGACCAGAGTAGTCGGTAGATGAGCGAGTGGATGGCGAGGAAGTATGGGTCCTTCAGGGAAGGATTGCGAGTAGCGAGAAAAGTTGCATACGCATATCCTCTCGGACCATTGGGATTGTAGTTGCGAGGCTTCTGTGTGAGGTACTTTTGGAGCACTGAAGTGGGAAGCTCGAGTTGGAGTTCGTCTTGAAAGTTGTATTTCGTTCCGGGTACGTGTTCCGTACTAAATGGTGGCGAGGCTCCTGCGAAGGAAGGTTCCGGGTGAAGGCCTGAAGCGGAATGTGCGTTGGCTAAACTGGACGGCCGAATCCCGTCTAGTAGGCCCTTCTCTCCGATTGCGGATGCATCTTCATGGTTGGAGACACGGTGCCCGTCAGATGGCAGGATCTCGATCCCGTCAATGTGCCCGTCTCCATGCGCATATGAGAAACCATATCGGTGTTGTGCGACAAGGTATACGGTTCCGAGACAAGCAAGTGTCGCTAGGGTAATGTTGTGTCGCCGTCGCATAATGTGTACGGAAGTACAGGTCAGGTTTCGCGATGGACCTTTAGTCAGGTCTAGATGCAACCTTCGTGAAAAGGAGAGGGGAACTTCACATGCGCATTTGGTCAAACTGCTAGGGTGCCGAGCCGTGTCGTAGTCCAGCCGACAATGAGGTGCATGTCGCCTTAATGGAACAGTGACACTGACGACGACCTGTTGATCCTGATCAAAGTCCCAACACAATTGAGAGCAAGGGTCGAGTTAATCACGCACGGTGATGTCGCCAATTCCGGGTGCTGCCGTCAGCATGATCGGCAGGCGAGCAAGGACCACCAGTCCATGCCGAGCAAGTACCCCATGGGGCGCCGCTTCGGAGGAAACTCCACTTTGGATCACCAATAAACATTTGCACCAACATGATAATGCATCTTACCCGTTTAGCACCTGCAGTAGCGCCGTGACGGGTTGCCCCTGGCGTGCCAACATCACATGAAGCCGAGCCAAAAGTGTCTAGAGGAGTCGATAGTTGGCCAGCGCATTGCGATGACACACGAAAAATTGTGGATGAAGACTGATTCAATTTCTTCTAACGTACAGAGTAACTGCGCTGGTGTTTTGGAGGGGAAACTTGTGGCTGGATGGTGCATCTGTAAAGCCAATTTGCCAACTTGACGCTGGGCTCGTCCACTAGTTTCGTGACAACCTCGGCTGCATAGAGCGTAATGGGAAGGATAATTAGCTGCGATAGCCAAAATGCAGGCTCGAGCCCCATAGGCCCCCCCTTGGGAAGCGGGAACTTGTCGACCCATCCTGGGAGACCGTCCTGGTGGAACGGTCTTGAAAGCCCAACCGCGGCATAAATTCGGTCTCCTATTGTCCAGATGACTAGGCCATGAACTAGGTACAGCGCGAATGAGATGCGCGCGAGGTACTGGCAAAATCCGGTCTCGAAGAAGCGCTTCAGCCATGGCAGTCGTGGAATTGACGCTACGGCTAAGAACGCAGCCCAGAAGAGGTAGAACCATTTGGCGTCAAAGACAGCTTGGGGCTTGAGATGCGACAGCCAGATCCATCCAGGAGACTTTGAAATGAGTACTGTGCGATCGATATCGGGTGCATCGAATGCCGGTACACCGCCGAGGTAAAGTGCAGCGATGAACAGATGGAAGAAGATGAGCTCTTTGAACCCAGCCAGCGCACCGAGGAACCGTGGAAGCTGGTCTTGCTCGGCAAGCAGATCAAGGTCGCAGAGCAACATTCCAGATATGAACAATGCTCCGTAGAAGCCGTCTACCACGTACAGGAAGTAAAAGGCCAGAGCCACCTGACACATGAGGCGAGCATTGCGTGTGCATCGAGAGAGAGCGGAGAGTGCGGTGTAGACGATAATGGATCCTTTGAACTCAATCGGAATGGACCAGGAATGAGGGTGGTAGGGCTCCGTGAATTCGTAGATGTTCGTGGAGAAGACGAAGCTGTAGTTCTTGAAGGTTCGATACCAGCTGACAACATCCTCGCGGAACGTAGGTTCCATATTGCGCATATCGACAGATATTCCACTCCAATGGCGGAACAACATCCACGCAAAGGTGACGACGATGATGGGAAGGTATAGTCGAAGCCAGCGGCGGAAAAGGGCAGAGCCGACGGTGTTCGACGCACTTGAGATCTGGCCGTCGTGGATTTGTTGTAGGCTTTTGAGCGAAAGGACATATCCTGAGATGACGAAAAAGATAGCCACTGCGAAGTGACCACCGGAGAACATGAGTCGAAAGAATGGGAATGCTGCCGAATAGTATTTCCCATCGTAGCCAAACGAAGTTTCGAATGCTTGATTGCCCTTGCCTCCATGAGACCAAAGTTGATTATGGTGCAGGTATACCAAGAACGCCGCAAAGCCCCTAAGGCCATCCAGCCATGCTGTTGGTCTTGCAGGCTTGCTCTTCGTTGCTGAGCGTAAGCTCAAGAATTCGGGACGCACTGCGTTGAGACTCAATTTTGTTGTTCGTACTGGTTTCCATATTGTCGGCGAGAGTTTGACCTCGTCAAGGTTGCCTTTGTCGAGCAAGCCCTGGTGTGTGGCTGGCATAGCTGAATCCGAAGCGGTAGCAGAAGTGATGGCAGCTGTGGTTTCAATCGAATGTAGAGGCCAATATCTAAGAATCCCACAAACACTTGGTACAGGAGCGAATGGTGCGGGTGTCGCGCGAGGCTAGAGAACGCGTAGTATTCTGACGGGAGCTATGCCTTTAGCTTCCCTCAACCGAGGCAGCATGTGTGGTTCACAACGGTAAGTTTAATAAAGCGATCGTCCAGGTTGAGCCGATCATGCAAGCGGGGCATGTTGAACTTGGCATCATACCCCAGAAGGATCCGAGGTTGCACCATCTTGTGAAGTCAACAGCCCACGAATCAACACAGTTTGATATCATAGACAATACAGTTGGGCCGTTCCTGATGAGAGACGTCCGGTGCGGGGCTTGAGTGGGGATACTACCGTTTGTGTCTACGCCTCCGACCATCTTGCAGGGATCATCTAGAGAAGCTTTAGCCTAGGCGTCTTGACCCAACATCGCCGCCGCAATGATGCAGGCGGCTCCTTAGCCATGCGACGCACATGCGCTATTGAACACCCGTCACGAGGCTGGTCCTGCATTCAACAGTTGTACCGATGTACCGAGGAAGTAGAGCTGCGCGGGGATTGGTGGGCGCAAGGGCCGAATGTGAAAACGACAGGAGGGTCTTGGAAAAGATAGTCAGTGAGCTAATCTCTCAAAGACTCAGGATGGCTGGGTCGAAATAGTCGCCTGCTTTTTTGTAATAACCACAGCATGCGCACGCGACCCAGGGCACCTCCACCCAAGCTTCACCTCAATATTGCAATGGCTCCCCATTCCCCAATTGCAGCGCACTTCTCGGGCAAGCTCACGAGCCAAGTGAGAAGGGTCCTGCCTGCATATCTTGCCCTGCTTTTCATCTTCTTGTTCTTCGCCAATACACACTTCTTTACTACACCCATTCGGGCTGCCAACAATTACAGGCGCGAGCTCAGATACCAACAGCCACTGCAGCTAAAAAGTGATGTGATTCCGAGGAAGATTTGGCAGACATGGAAGGTCGGCCCTCTAGGCTTCGAGAAGCGCGACTCGGATTCAGCGAAGACTTGGCCGGCGAAGAACCCCCGGTATCGGTACGAGGTTTTGACCGACGACAACGCGAACGATTACCTCGAATTCCACTACGGCGCTCACGGTATCAACAGACCAGACCTTGTCAACCTCTACCGAGAGCTTAACATAACGATCATCAAGGCTGACTTGCTTCGTTATCTCGTCATGTACGCCGAGGGTGGTGTGTATGCCGACATAGATGTGGAATGTCTTCGTCCTATCGACCGATTCATACCCGAGCGGTACATTGAGGAGGAGGTCGATATGATAATTGGTGTCGAGATTGATGAGCCAACCTTCGCCGAGCACCCCATCCTCGGTGGCAAGTGCAAGTCTTTTTGCCAGTGGACGTTCGCCGCCAAGCCTAGACTGCCAGTCATGATGAGGCTCATGGAGAACATACAAGCATGGCTACATGAGCTGTCGCATCAGAAAGAAGTCGAGATATCAGAGCTGCAGCTGGACTTCGACGAGGTCATAAGCGGGACGGGTCCTTCCGCGTTCACGAAGGCCGTACTGGAGCAGATGACTGCACAGAATCAAGGCAAGCCGGTTACCTGGGACCTCTTCCACAATCTTGCGGAGTCGAGGCTCGTCAATGGCATCCTGGTGTTGAATGTGGAGGCTTTCGCAGCCGGTCAAGGTCACTCGGACTCCGGTAACCATGACTCAAGGGGGGCTTTGGTAAAGCATCACTACCATGCTTCGGGATGGCCGACACTTCACCCGCGCCGCAACCACCCCATGTACGGCGAGGTAGAGCAATGTAACTGGAAGCCTGAGTGTGTAGCAGAATGGGTAAGTCTGACAGCGACCTTGTATACACGCATCTTTACTGACATCGCATAGGACAAGAACGTCGCCGAATGGGATACGCTGCCTAAAGAAGAGCAGGATAAGCGCATCGCCAGCAAACCGGCACCGCCTGGTGGCATCAAGCCTCACTAGACTTGAGCATCTTGTATATATATATGGGCGAAAGGTGTCCAAAGCCAAATACATCGGGGTCTGCAGTGCTGCTGCATCGGGTCGGCGCGTGCGGGATGGAGCGGAGGTGTCGGGTGCTACCCATCGCGTCGTCAGCTCGTGGTAGGGCGCGGTGCGTATAGAGCCCCGGAAGCCGACGCGTAGCGCCGCGCAGTCTCGTACTCAACGGCCGCCATCGCCGCGGGTGTGGTTGGTGGTAGCTGGGAGGCGTGGTGATGGAGAGGTAGCGGAGCTCGCGTCTATGGACGATCAAAGATATCTTGGGGGCGTGACGTCATCGACGCGTCGGCCTACCACACGAATAATGTAATGTCATATGAACACAGCACAGCAATTACTCGCTCTTTTCCACGTCTCATCTCCGAATCTGCGTCTTATGAGAATTGGGGTGAGAGCCGGCCGTCACTCAGGCCACTGTTGAGAAGGTAAACCTCCGCGTCGTCCAAACAGCCTCGTGAGATATGCCTCTTTCCAATCGCTCACGGTACACTTCGAAGTTTTATCACTGCACATGGATGGTCCCGAATCCTGCCGTTACTTATGCGATGACGTCTCTTACTAACATCACCATACCTAGGCATTGTCTCCGACACATTGACGGTAAGTACAACCAAGGACGCGTTTGAGCTTCGACCTCAAAACCAACAGTTACATCGTCTGCTCGACACCCAATATAGAGGCTATGTTCTCAACAGCGCACGAGTATGCCCTCCTACTAGTGGTACCAGCAAGTGGCCCGATCTCAACGTTCGCGGCCTTGATACTAGGATGTGGGTCCCGATTTGGGTCCCAGGATCATGCGTACTACTGTCTAGACTATGCTAACTTGATTATTCTGGTCGAGTTGGTATTCGCATCTCTCGACTCGGTTCCCGCGTCGAGAGCTCTAAGATTCACACACTCAAATATATGTCGCGCCAGCGCATTATGTATTATGAAGAGACTTATTGAGGCTGTACCCGCTTTTGTCGAGGAAGATGCCGGAGGAGGTAGATAAATATGAGAGCCCTCCTGATAACGCCGATTACGACATCTTGGGAGAAATTTTCCCATCCCGACCAAGAGCTCTGTCATATTGGACTTTTGCAGCAGTAGGTCGGACAGCTGAGGCTTCTCGATGAGTGAAATCTAGTGTATCGAAACCTGGAGTACATCTGGGCAAGGAATATGAAGACATTAGTTTGGTTTCATTCTTGCGCGACAACAAATAACGGCAAGAACGTTGAAGGATCAGATCTGTATTTATTTTCACTCGACACACTCGACCGGACTGCTCCACTCACATTGCGAATGCAGCACTGATAGAGCTGTTTCATTATCTTCAGGCGATCACCTATGTGGGTAATCGCACCGACAACGGTACTATGGACCGTATCATTCATTCACACTGCCCATACAATGTGTTGATCGCATCACTCAATTTCACAACAGTACTGGGAGCTAGCAATAACACCCAGAGTTCTTTTCTACAATTCCAAGTCATTGGCACATCTTCCTTGGCAGCGCAGATGTCGCGGCAGTCTTCGCAAGAATGGCAAACGCGCCCGCAGACCGAAACAGATTCGACAGACGGTAGGCAGCAAAACTTCGTACCCGGGCTAGAAATAGGATTCCACACGACTACGTTCAGTTTCACTGGCGAGGAGAGTGCGGAGGAGAGCCATGGCGATGACCGCAACCAGAGAGTTGGCTTAAATCGACCTCACACAATACCATCAGCAGGTGCTGTAGATACCAGCATGACAAAAAACGACCTAATCCGCAGCTCAACTCACAGTTCGACCTCTTCGAGTCTGCACTTCCTCAATTTGGGCGACTTGGCTGCAGCATTGCCACCAACTGGCTCGACCGGCTTGCCATCGCAAGGACACTCAACGATACATGTTCTTCCAGCAAAGCTCTTCCGGTCCGCTCCTATGCAGATATCCGCGTCACCAAGTGAACGCCCATCTTCTCCAACTGAGTCGATCGGCTCTAGCTATTCGTGGCGCTCTGATAGAGCAGGCGTGCACGGTCGACTTCGCGATAAACTCCAAGGGCCAGGTATGACAGAATTATATGTAAATAGCGGTGGGAGCGTCCCCGCGTTAATCGATCACGAACAAAGAGGGCGGAGTAGGAAACGGGAACGGGAACGGGAACGGGAAAGAGAGAAGCGACCTGGTTTCGCACGGAGATTATTTCGACGCTTCACAAGCTCCGATGTAGATGCGCAGAGAGATGAGCCGAGCAAACCAAGCACTGGAAATTTATACAGCGTGAGACGTGGTAAACGAAGGAGTACCAATTTCGGGTTCTAATTGAGATGGACCTCTTGAAGATACCACGTGACATCATAGGGCCTACAACCAGACGATGTAAAGCCACCGTCTTGGAGGATAGAAGCGGCCTCAATGTTGAGCCTACTAAGAAGGTGTTGGAGGGTGGTATGTCTGCTTCATGAGACGATAGCGTCGAGAAGTAAAGGGGCCTGTATGTCAAGCGCGCGTGATGACGTCAGTCACGTGATGCCCATTTGGCGGGTACCTAGGTACTTCCTAATGTATTGTAGATTGCATATGTACTGAGCCCAAACCTTATAAATGGACTGTCTCGCATCTTGCAAACTGAGAATCGTGAGAAGAGAAGACGCGACGCATATGCGAATGTCCTGTCAAGTCCGCACATACTGCCCAGGTGAGTTTAGTGTCTTCAAAACTGTGCACGGGCAATGACGTCCCCATCGCGAACGCGCGCCCGACCTTGGATAGCTGCCAATCTTCCCACTTCCCTTCCAGCTCCTCATCTCCTTCTACTTGTTTTCGTCAAATCACGTCAGGATTCTGCCCATTACGTTTCGTAGTCGTTCGTAACAGCCATGCGGCGGCGGGGTAAATTAATTTTAGCTGAGTGCAACGCGCCCGCGTGGTGGCTTAGCGCGACGATGGGACGCCGCACTGCCGTTCGCTCACCCTCGTGACAGCTTGCGCCGCTAATGCACTTCTCACTTCCTGCGACTCCATTGCATTCTATCAGCGGCGATTGAGGCCAAACTTTGTTGGGCAGTTTGCGACGCCATTCAAATACGAGAGGACGCTATGGACCATGTCAGCGCATCCCTAGAACTCCTTCATCGTACGTGTTACCGTCAACAACAGCTGTTCTAAGCTGGATGCATTTCACGACATTGTGCAAGAGATGGCTGAACTAGAAAGGCTCTGACTAATCGTTTGTCTGCTCTCAAACACAGAATAGAAGACAATGGGGTTATATTCACGATGCTAACGTCGCTGTAGTCATTTGCGCAACTTTGATCTTTGTCCGCGACGTCACGAAAGACACAAGCGGCGTAACTAATACAACGAACTTTTTGAACGAGACTCTTGTGTTCTTGGATGTGTTTTCGAATGTCTGCTTCAGCGACTTGACCGGAGTTTTACGCGACAGTCGTTTGCATCGCATCTTACCAAGTGATATAGAGCACTCTCTTTACTCGCTCAACAAGTCTCTAGCCGCACATCGGGAGGCGTGGAGGTACATCGGCAAGAGTCCCACCCCCGGTGCGGGGCAAAGAAGCGTTGAGGATCTGAAGCGCGGTCGCGCCGCGTCACTAGATGTTCAGCATGAAAAGAAGAGCTGGAGAGACGAAATGAAAGAACGCTCGCAACTCTGGCGAGAAAAGGCGCGACCAGGGCTATACAAAGCATTGTTCGGAGCAGAGGAGATGGCCACGCTCACCTTGAATTGCTTGCAATGGACGCATCGGCTTCGTCAAACTCTGGAAATTGTCTTCCTTGGCATCGGACCTCCGGATCCAGGATTCGGTAATTCCAGGCAGGCTGCTATCCTTGGCGTGGCAGAACAACTCGAACGCCAGCATCGAGCAGGTGCAGAGCCTTCGAGCGACTATACTGCGCTCGTTGGCGCGCTCAGAGAAACGATCAGCACTGGGCAGCCATCTCACGGCCTCATCAAGACGATATATGACGACGGTGGAGATGAAGTCGACGTTCTTGTTGAAACGCGATCGGACGACGAGACGCCTGCTGAGTACATGTGTCATTTGACGTGGTTGCTACAGGCTCCTCATCAGACTGACGTATCCGTCAAGAGCGACGCCCAGAACGGCTACCAGCTGCATACATTAAGCTGTATGGGTTTCATCGATGATCCACTCAACAGAAGGAGTCTGATCGTCTACCGCGCTCCGCAAAGCCATCCTTGGGCATCAAACCCACCGTCTTTGTATGACATGATCTCGAAGGGTCCGACCGCGAGACCCTCAATAGGAAGTCGCTTTCTCATCGCAAGAGCACTGACAAGCACACTACTCGAGTCGCATGCCTCCGGCTGGGTTCACGGGAACGTACAGTCGCGCAGTATCGTAATGCTGCCAAGGTCGTTTAACGATCTCGAGTTGTCTCCCTTCTTTGTTGGCTGGGGTGTCCTCCAACCCCTCGAGGCTACGCACTTCCCGTTGGAGCCGAACCTGTACCGCCACCATGACCGTTTTGGCCGACCATCTTCAGAATATTCCAACGAGCACGAGATTTACTCACTGGGCGTGGTTCTTCTAGAGCTTGGACTATGGCGGACGATGGCGAAAGTCTTCGCCCGCCGCATAGAGAAGTTCCCGATCTTCGGCATAGTACAGCAGCAGGATCTCTTTAATCGTATACACAATGCGATACTAGATTGGGCCAACAGTACCGAAATCGAGAGAGAGATGGGAAAGGCTTACGCGCAAGTCGTGTCAAAGTGTCTTACTTGGCACTATGAAGATCCAGTCGAAGGCATGATTGAGTTCCGAAAGCAAGTCGTGGACGTGTTGACTACAGGATGTGGATTGTAGCTGGTGGACTACTTCTGGACATCAAATCCAGTCGAATTGCGACAAATACCAAATTTGAGAGCGATCAAATACTAGCGACTGAGGACGATGAGTGGTCGCGCAAACAGAGCAACGGCGTCAGCGGAAAGAGTCCTACGCCAAACACCAAATACAAGCGCGCATGCAAACAGCAACGAATGTATCGACACACAAACCTCTTGGGCGGGGAAAGTGATGTTTCGTATGCTATATGTTGGCGCTACGACCTCGCATCAACGGTTGAGTCAGTCCACCCTCTTCGTCAGTATATACAATACATCAGTATATGGTAGTCCAAGCTTTCAAATCACTCATCGGTTACGATGTTCGGGGTTCTTCCAGTGGTCTTCACGCCAAGTGAGCTCCCTGCCTCACTGTCCGGAAAATGCTATGACCACACATGGCCAGCGTCTGTCATTGCAGGCTTTCCAGAGCTGCTATGACGTTGCGAAAATTATATCACCTCGCCATGGGCCCGTTCAGGAGATGCAAGTGAGCACGGGCACCCAGAGGGTGCTTCGTCTACTGATAAATAGCCCGTCTCTTACACTCAAGCACCTTGGCTCCCCTCCACCCCGACACCCACCAGCGCTCTCAAAGTCCTGGTTCCACCGGCTGTACCGCGACTACCGCTCTCCTCGCACACCGCCCCGCCCTCACATCTTCTGACAAGCGCCTAAAAGACTGCGCCGACCCGACGGACTCTGCCCGTATCGCGCGACCACAAGGTCAAACTCCGACCGTCGCAATGTCCAACTTGAACGAAGAATTCGGTCCGGAAGACATGGCCTGGGTCGCGGCCGATGTTCAGATGAGGGAAGAACAAGATCTGAATCGTGCCCTTGAAGCAAGTCGAGCTTCCGCGGGAACCGGGGTACCACCGCGTCCAACGAGCGCTAGGGTCACAAGACAATGCGAGGCGGAGGACGAGGAGCTTCTTGTTGCGCTTGACGTTAGCCGGATAGAAGCAGAAAAGGCGGCCCAGAGACGCAATGCAGACGCGGAGGCGGACCAACAACGCCTTCTCGAAGCTCAAAGGCAGTCGGGGCGTGAAGCTCTAGCCGCTGACCAAGAACGTGAAGCTACTCGCAAAGCTGAACTACAGTCTCTGAAGGATGAGCGAGCTCGGGCTCAAATTGCGCGATTACACCAAGAGACCTTGGATCAGGCCATCGTCGAGAGCAAGTTGGCAGCCGAGACTGAGCAGCGGCAACATGAACAAGAGTCTGCACGCCTTCAGGAGGCATACGCTGTACGCGGCCTGAGCGAAGACGAGCAGCTGCAGATGGCAATGAGCCAGAGTCAAGACGAAGAGCATTCTCGTGAAGTTGCACAGGTCGGGCAGCTTCGAGAGGATATGCTGCGCTGCGTGAACGAGCAAGAACAAACCTCTGAACTACTAGGCGAGCCATCGGCTACCCAGCGTTCAGAAGACCGTCCAGTCTTGGGGGCCATGGCGTCCTATCCTCCGGGTCCGGTTACTGAGCAGGAGCAAAGGAGTGTGGCCGATGCTCAGGAGATTGTTGACAACCCGAATGCGCTGTATAGGCCTTTGACACCAATATCAGAGACATCTACATCGCGACCAGCGAATCTTCGATCACTGGCATACACCCAAGTCCGAGGCCCTAACATTGTCACCGCCACGACCACGACGGATCATAGAAGGTTAACCGCGACGCTTCCACCCCCGCCACGTGGAATTCCTACCCCACCTGCCTCTGATAGAAGCAGGTCATCCATTCGATCGGTTTCCTCAGGCCGTCCACCGTCCTACCAGACAGTAGAAGAGAACCCCGCGCGGAGAGTGGAATCCTTCGAAGTACCTCACGGTGTCCCAAACGAGTCGCAGACTAGCGAAGAGCCTCCCCTATATCCTGGCGCTTATCCTCCGTCTCCTTCCCAGGCTGAGTCGGCGGCTCCTCATACAGTACTCGGTCTAAGGCCAATTCTTGGGACGCCCTTACTTCCAGGCGCGTACCCTCCTTCGTACGCGAGCAGTAGAGCACCTCGCAGCGAGGCAGGAGCATTTTCTGAGACGTCTGTGCAAGAAAGTGTCGTGGCTCGACGCCCATTGGGCAATAGGGGATCTAGCAATGTGCCCTCAGTGCCATCAATCCAGGACCGAAACGCGGGAAGCGGTTGTTCTCATGGAGATACTATGTCTACAAGGAGCGACTCGTTTCCTGGCGCATATCCGCTATCGTCGCAAGCAAGTCGAGCTCCGAGTCGGCTGGATACGGTGTCATCCGGAGGGACGTTCTTTACAGCTCAGGAAACGCAGCGATCTCAGCCTCAAGCAAGACCACAGTCTGCTCTCTCTGATCTCTGGAATCATCGGGATCGAGATAGTCATCAACACGAAGGGTCAGGACCTCGGCCATTCACACCGGTTTCGGTGTCTTCACAGCCAAGCGATGCGTCATCTGCCATTCGACCGCCATCATCTCGAACATCTCAGGGTAGTAGTATTGCGCGGAAGCCGGTTGCGAAATCTCAGCATGCTACCTCTGTTTCTGCTGAGCACCTAGCGCCAGTCACTGCTGCCGATGCGGTCAGTCCGTCGGACGTGATCTCGTCTGCCTTGCAGCAGGAGCCGGTGAGAAACATCTTCAACGCTCCGGTCAGCGTGACCATCAACAACCTCCCCGAAGCGCCCAAGTCCTCCCAGAATCTGTTGAGGCAAGTCTTCAATAAGAGCAGGCAGACTAACAAGGGCGTGAAAGCTGTCGAGCAGAAAGGGGCAGAGTTCTACGTCAAGGGTGTAGCTGAAGCGACAAGTAACCTTTGGAAGAACAAGAGAAAGATATTTCCTGCCAGGTCTTCCAAATCAGCTGGAAATGCTGTGATCCACGAAGCGAGGGGAATTGACCGTTTTCCTGTTTCTCCGGCTCATGACGACGTGGGTACTATCGTCAGTCCCTGGCCTGCGAGACAGTGTCTGCACGTCGTGAACGCAGATCCTACGCGCTCCGTATTGAGCACACCTGAAACCACAAGGCCGCTGCAATCAGAAATGGCCGGACAGCAGAGTGAAGAGGTCGACACTCCTCGACCGTCTACATTGCAGCGGTCGGTAACGTCACCTCCGCCGACAGCGGCGATACCGTCGAGGCCAATGTCGCTGGATCAATGGACCGTGTCCCAGATTTCGGACGTCAACGGCAATGCAGTAACTCCGCCTAGCGTCTGTCAATCGAGAGTGCGAAGCTCGATGGATAGTTTCCGGTGCGCTTCCGAACTGCGCCCTCAGCCGCTGGATATTCGCAAGCAGCCTCCTCCTGTGCCACCAAAACCTTTGGAACTGGCCAGTCCTTCTGCACGTGTAGCACCATCGCGACCACCACCGCCTCCTCGCAGCCGGAATCCGATGACGAGGCGTATGCTTGGCGAGCAAGAGGAGGGGTCTGGGTGGGTGCAGCAACCAGTGCATTTTCTTGGCATGGATCTGACCCAAGGACCAACAATGGGCTCACCGGATTCCATGACGGTGACACCCCCAACACCTCGGCGTATCAACGTCGATTTGAACCGCCGCAGTCAATTTGGGCCAATTGACACAAGCTTGGCGAACGTGCCTCCTGGTGAACGTCGCATCGACGAGTTCAGCTCACGATCAATGATGGATCTTGGCATGATGGGTCAATTGGGTAATCCTGCCATAATGGAGCCATTGCTTGGACAGTACGAGCAGACCTATGCCCGCCCACCACATGTGCAGCAGGAAAGGCTGAACTCGGATGCGAGGGCAAGAAAAAAGGAGAAGGACACGCAGAAGGCTTTGCGGAAGCAGTTTTGAAGGTTGAAAAGGCACCGAGGAGTAAAGCCTGGGATAGAGGAAGAGTACCCATCTGACTATTTCAGCGACGTTTTACTAAGTATCGCAAGCAATTGTACATTATTTACCATCTTTGGAGCGGTTGAAGTGATATTATTGCATGTTCATCTTGTTGTAGAACAACTCAATAGGCTTGGAGGTCTACGGCTACCCATGTCGTCTGCTTGTCAACCGGACCGGGAGCACACACCTCAGATAACGTTACCCGACATCGCGCGCATGAGTGGTGGGGTTGTGACCCGCTCGAGCAGGGGTGTCGGCCTCTCCATCAATTCCCGATCGATAAGCAGCGGAAACACACGCCGTCGCAATAAGACCAACTGTTGCGCTGCGAACTAAAAGGGAATAAGTAAGTAGCCCAGGAGCAGGCCCAAAGATAGCCTTTGGAAGCGATCCAGAACACCAACAATCAATTTCAAAAGGCTTCAAAACATGGGATCTATAGATATTGCAAGTGGTATGAAGACGGTACGCGATCAACGTGGATGATCAAAGCCCTTTACTAACAACAAGTAGAGCTGGAGTCGTTTAGTGCGGTTTGTCGCAACCGAAGACGGTGCTGAGCATATCGGCGAGCCCATCGATGCTGAGTTGGATGGTATGTCGATTTCAAATCCCTACTTGCTATGTCTAACAAGTCGCAGTCGGCGCAGCTCTTGCTTCAGGATCGGAAGTCAAAGTTCGCGTCTTCACAGGATCGTCGGTACTCTCCGTGGATACCCAGCCAACACTAGTAACCTACACGATATCAAGACTACTGCCACCGCTTTCAAAAGCCGAAGTTGGCACGATTCGCTGTATAGGCCTGAATTACCGGAAACATGCCAAAGAGATGAACCTGGACCTTCCCGACCACCCGACGCTGTTCTTCAAGCCTTCGACATGCCTAGGGGCGCCGAATGCGCCTTTAGTCATTCCACATCAGGCGACAGACGGCCAGGCCGATTACGAAGCCGAGCTTGCGGTTGTCATCGGGAAGCCAGCCAAGAACGTGAGCAAAGAAGATGCGATGGATTACGTGCTCGGCTACACATGTTCGAATGACGTGACAGCGCGAGTCCACCAGTTCAACGGCGCGCAATGGGGGTTCGGCAAGGGCTTTGATGGCTTCGCGCCAATAGGGCCATGCTTGGTATCCGCGTCTTCGATACCAGTCCCCGGCGATATCGAGCTGAAGACGGTACTCAACGGTGAGACTATGCAATATTCGCTGGCGAACGATATGATCTTCAGTATACCAGAGATAGTGGCATATCTGAGCCAAGGAACGACGCTGGAGCCAGGTACTGTAATCATGACGGGTACGCCGCATGGAATTGGTGTGAGCAAGGTGCCGAAGGTATGGCTCAAACCGGGAGATGATCTGAGGATTGTAATGAGTCATGGTATGGGAAGTCTGGTTACACCTGTGGCGTATGAGGAAGCTTAGAGTAGATACGCATAGCGAGGATATTACGGAGCGTAATGCGCTATTGGAAGCCGAACAGCATCTGCTCTTGTGTGATGTTATCCAGTACATTCTCCCAGTGTTGTAGATCGGTTGGCTCAAACAAGGTGGTGAAAGATGGGTCACCCCATGGAGGCGCATGCCATTGGAAGGGCCCACCTGCACCTATCGCCGGCAGATCTGGCACCGTTATCGAGCTATCTTCCGTATACGGTGATGTCAGGTCGATGGTATTGGCACTATGCACGGCAGGTGGCGCATTGTCTGCTGTGTTGGGACGTGTTTCGGTACGACTAGCACGAAACTGATTTGCTTTCTTGATGCAGAGTTCAATGATTTTGACCTCAGCTAGCGCGAACTCATTGAGCCAGATATCAGCTCTTTGCATCTCACAATATGCGGAGAGGTCCTCTAGTATCGCGCGACATTTAGGCGAGTGTGGATCTTTGACAGCGATTATTCCGAGGACTAAAGCACTGTTGAAGAGGTGGTGTGGACCCAAAGTCCACTTCAGACGGTCATTCAATGGCTGTTGGAAGTAATCGATGCGCATGGCAAGGTCTGCGCATGCCGACGATATGCACGCATCGTGACTATATCTGAAGCGATTGGTGATACTTTGGCGCAGCAAGTACGGTCGATGAAGCGTGACGCGGGCGAAGTGGTACATGGAGTGGAGGTGCAAGCGGTTCCAGTAAAGGAAGGGGTGCGTGCTATCCATAGATGTAACTGGGGTTTTCAGATGATAGTAGTCTGGTAACCTTGCCTCCCAGTCCATAATCTCATGGTCTAGCGAAATGACGGTGTCGTACAAAACGGTAAAGAGACCAAAGCAACGCTCTTGAATGCTGCCGATAATCTTTGCCAGATCGTGTGCGAGAAAGTTGTAAACGCTCAGAGTCGGCTCAGACATTGGTAGTTCTGGAATGGCGGACGTGTCCTCGTCCGGTTGGTCGTCCAACCAGACGTTGGTGGCTCTCTTGACGAGACATTGCTGGTCAACTATGGCGAAGGGACGACCGATGGCAAGCGCGATAGTCTTATCCAAGGTGTAAAGATGGCTCCACAAACGCCTTCGGGTTTCAGTCTCTTTACGCGAGAGACGCCAACGTTCGCCATCGATATGCATGCCTTGTGCTTGGGCCATGCGCATGGCAAAACTGGTCGTAAGCCAAGCCTCCGGTACTCTTCGCAAATGGATCAGATAACGTGTGACCAGAAGACCGGCACGGACAAGATCTGTCGACTCTCCGTAGAATGTTGGTGCAATGACTATAGCGCGTCTTGCTGCCCAGTAGAAGCGTAGTGATGTCTCTTGAAGCTCACGTTGCACTTCGCCATTCTTTGGATGGGGGCAGTCGAGGAAAACACCGTACGCAAGGACAATGAATAACAATGCCAGCCACCTCAGATCAATAGATGCATAGTCATCGAAGCCGAATTTACGCTCCCAAAACTCGTCATACTTGAGTTTGAAGGATTGGGGATGGATGGCGTCTATGGTCCAATTCAGCTCGTCGAGGAAGACATGTACGAGGCAATCGACGCTGGCCTTGTTGCGCGGCAGCAAACCTAGGAGATCCCAGATCTGCGAAAAAGGGCCTCCAACATCGCGGAAAGATTGCGCTGAGGCCGCAGCATGCCGTATGCCGGAGGAAAGATCTGGTGCGGGCTCTTCGATTATTTTCGCTGCAGCTTGAGGTCCGAAATAGGATGAGCCGAAAAAAGATGGGGCATCTCGACTGCGGAAGAGGTTACCGACTTGTGCGTCTCTGGGTTCGGGCGAGTTTCTGGCACGCGTGGAAGTGGTCCGTGTGTCTTCGCGGTAACATTAGCACCAATCTTTGCAACGAGCGTGTCGACAAGGCTCCCGCATTCTGCTGCGTGAAGGCCAGCGCCGATACAAACATACCTGTGGGATTCTCTGACGATATATCGTCATCCAGAGGGATAACGGCGACACGTGAAGTTTGCCGACGACGGGCTTCAGCCTCGTCGCTGTACGTGCAGCTCGAGGCAACGTCGCGTCTGCTGCAGTTGAAGCATGGCAGCTCTCCGTCGCACTGCGTAGGCCATCAGCTACCTATCCGATGTATTGAGCATTGCTCGTGGAATGATTGCAATCGTTCATAACGGAAGCACTGCGAAGATGGCTGGGTTGGAGGGTCGTCATCACAACGCGTTATCGCGCCGCGAAGCTCGGAGCGACTGCTTACGTCATACGCACCTTTTGCTTCCGCCGATGGCACGCGACACAGCTCTTCGCTTGTCGACCTCTCTTCCTCTTCTTCGTCGACGGGCCTTCGTCGCGCCTGTCCATCTCTCCCTCGTATCGCGTCTCCGTCATGTTGATGATTCCCGATAACGCTGGGATTTAGCCGATGGTATCTCTATCGGACGCCTGCCTGCCAATGTTCCTAGCGCATCCTCCATGCGTATCATGCCCACTTTAGCAGGGCTCGCTATCTTCCCGCGTCGGACAATTCCCTAGGCACCGATCGGCAATAATGTTGTCCCAGGTCAAGATGAACGGTATAAGGTATATGTCATGGCAGATGGGTCTGGTTTGGATCGCAAGCCTGTATCATGAGCTTTCCGTCCCGTCTACCCGCAGAAGACGACACCACCGACACCATGTCGCGTCCAACCCCGGATGATAAGACCTTTGATGGCTCAGTTCACGAGAAGGATACCCAAATTGGCGCTAGCGAAGAGATACATATTGATCCAGTCGCTGAGAAGAAGGTATAAGCGATGCACGCAAGACTGGGTATCACGTGCTGACTAAGATCGACAGCTCATTCGCAAACTGGACCTCATACTATCTCCGATGATGGTCTTGGTGTTTCTGGTATGCATACAAACTCTCATTCACTACAACAAGCCTAACATGGGTGCTTCAGGTGGCCTACCTTGACCGGTCCAACATCGGTACACACATCTCCCAATAATAATTTCCAAGGTCATTTGCTGATAGCGCTCAGGAAATGCTGCCATCGCAGGCATGAACGAGGATCTGGGACTCACCGGCAACCGTCTCAACGTTGCCGTAACGCTCTTTTACGTCACCTATATCGCCTTCGAGGTTCCAGCCTCTATATTGTTGAAGAAGCTGCGACCATCCCGCCTAATTCCAACATTCATCATCGGCTGGAGCGCTATCATTATTGGGGCTGCTTTCATCGAGAACTACGCCTCTCTCATCGCTACCCGCCTGCTCCTCGGTGCCTTCGAATCCGGCCTGTTTCCGTGCTTGACGTTGTACCTGAGTATGTACTACAAGCCTCTGGAGCAAGCGCGGAGGGTGTCATATCTCTTTGTTGCATCTGCACTAAGCGGTGCATTCGGCGGGCTACTGGCGTACGGTCTCACAAATCTCCATGGCGCAAAAGGACTAGCTGGTTGGCGCTGGCTATTTTTGGTGGAGGGTCTCATCTCCATCATCGTCGGTGTTGCCACCATCTTCCTACTACCTGACAATTTCGAGACCGCGTGGTGGTTGAACGAAGACGAAAAGGCTCTGCTTCGCGCCCGACACGAGAACGAACGATTGTACCAGGGCAAGTCGATGACAACAGATGCCTTGGACAAGTCGGAAGTAAAGCTTGCTTTCCGCGATCCCAAAGTATGGCTCAGCTCTGCTTGCCAATTCTGCGCCAATACGTGCTCCTTCGGCTTCTCGACATTCCTCCCCGTCATCATTCGTGGATTTGGATACTCTAGCATTCGCACTCAGCTCCTCACCGTGCCCGTGTACATCTGGGCCTCGGCAGTATATCTTTTCGTCGCTTTCTGCTCGGATTACTTCAACCGACGAGCGTTCTTCATGGTTCCTTTGGCGTTAGTTACCTCAATTGGTTATGCCATGATGCTGGGTGTCTCCATGTCCTCGACTGGGGTGCTGTACTTTGCGACCTTTGTCACTGCTACTGGCATCTACTGTGTCGTGGGTTTGAACGTTACGTGGGTGATCAACAGCAATGCGGGATACTTCAAGCGCGCCACCGCCATAGGACTGCAACAAACCATCGGCAACTCGGCAGGTATCATGGCCGGCCAGATCTACCGTATTACGAACGACGATGGTCGTTATGTGATTGGTCATGTTGTCTCCATCACAACGATCTCAATCGCGGCATGTGGCTACGCTCTCATGTACTTCACTCTGCGTGGCATTAATAAGAAGAGAGAGGTGATGTCAATCGAGGAACGAATCCGACAGATCGACTCAGGTAAACTTGGCGATCGCCATCCCGACTTCCGTTATACATTGTAGATATACAACCGCGAAATAACGAATGCACTTTTCCATTACCAGGTTATGCAGAGGACCCAGGCTTTAGTCCCTTGAAAGTTTTCGTGATATTGGTTATCGCGTCTTCGACCGGCAAGCGCTCCATAGAGCTTGCGCCATAGAAACCATGTACGCCCTTCGTTCGACTGATCACATACTCCGCATCCTCTGGCTTTGCGATTGGGCCGCCGTGACACAAGATGATGACGTCCTCCTTGATACCTGTCGCAGTATCGCGTATCTCCTGGATCAGCTTGACGCAGTCATCCAAGCTCTTTCCACTACTCGCGCCAATGCTTCCACTCGTTGTGAGGCCCATATGAGCAACCAAGATATCGGCGCCTGCGTTTGCCATCTTTTTCGCCTCTCCCACATTGAACACATACGGCGTCGTTAGGAGGTCCATTTCTCGCGCCATCTTCATGACTTCCACTTCGGCGTCGTAAGACATTCCCGTCTCTTCAAGATTCTGCCGGAAAGTTCCGTCGATCAATCCAACAGTCGGAAAGTTTTGGATGCCGGCGAAGCCAAGGTCTTTGAGTTGCTTCAAGAAGCGAGACATGTCTCGGAACGGGTCGGTAGCACATACTCCTGCTAGTACTGGCGTGGATTTGACGATGGGGAGGACTTCGCCAGCCTGAGATTGTTAGCCGCTAACTGTAAGCAACTGTTTGTCGCATTCTGGCATACCATTTCCAGAACCACATCGTTAGCGTTTCCGTATGGCATCAAACCAGCCAGCGAACCGCGGCCTGCCATTCGGTATCTTCCGCTGTTGTATATGATGATGAGGTCGCCGCCACCAGCTTCGATAAATTTCGCGCTCAGTCCGATGCCAGCGCCCGCGCCAACAATGATCTTGCCATTGTCGATCTGCGAGCGGAAATTTTGTAATATGCTTTTACGATCGCTTGGGGGTGACATGTTTGCGAACTAAGCGTACTTCAGCTCTTGATTGGAGTGGAGATGAGGTGTCTGGTATCAAAAGATATAATCGGAAGTCTCGATGCTGTAGCGATGATGCTAGGTCGCGCTGTTGAAGCATGCACGATGACGTAATGCAAGCGCGGGGGGCATTACACGGGCATGCGCATCCACGACCCACTCGATACTTATACATCAACCTTCTGTATTCTTTATCAGATGATTATATCATTATGTCTTCTCACCCACGCGTCGTACTTCTCGGTACTTGCGACACAAAGTTGGAGGAGCTTCTTTTCCTCCGCAAAGAAATAGAACAAAACAATGTCGACGTGACGTTGATGGATGTGGGTAGAAAGCGTATAAGGCACAGTTCCATCAGCATCAGTCAAGATCAACTGCTGGAGGATCAGGGTGGCGTGGAAGATGTGAGTGAGTTGCCTCGAGGCGAAGTCATCAAAACGATGGCTGCCCGCGCTACCAAGGCAGTCAAGAATTTGTTTGAAGAAGGGAAAATACACGCTATCATCAATGCAGGAGGCTCGGGTGGCACATCCCTAGCGGCAGAAGTGATGAGGACCGCACTACCCATCGGCTTCCCTAAACTTATCGTTTCTACCGTCGCAAGCGGTGACACTGGACCCATCGTTGGAGAAACGGATATCACTTTGATGTACAGCGTAGTGGACGTCGCTGGTTTGAACGAGGTACTCCGAAACGTGCTCAGCAACGCTGGAGCCGCCATCGCAGGAATGGCTCGAGCATACGCGTCTCGTCAAAAAGATGCCCTCCAATCTCAGAAGAAGCGCGTCGGTATTACCATGTTCGGTGTTACTACCCCAGCCGTCGATTCTATACGAACACATCTGGAAGCAAGTTACGATATTGAAACGTACGTCTTCCACGCTACCGGCCACGGTGGAAAAGCAATGGAGCGACTTGTCAAAGAAGGAGGCCTTGATGCAGTGCTGGATCTTACCACTACCGAAATATGCGACCACATCACCGGCGGTGTGATGAGCGCGGGCGAGCATCGTCTCGAGGCTGCTGCAGAAGCTGGAATACCATATATCGTCTCCGTAGGCGCGACTGACATGACAAACTTTGGCCCCATGAACACGGTACCGGAACGATACAAAGACCGCAAACTTTACGAGCACAACCCTGTCGTCACCCTGATGAGGACATCCGTAGACGAAGCGACTCAAGTCGGCGACTTCATTGCGGCGAAGTTGAAGACTCATGCAAAGAACCCTGGGATGATTCAGATATGGCTTCCAAAGGGAGGTATCAGCATGATTGCGGTCCCCGATGGGCCGTTTCAAGACGAAAAGGCGGATGCGGCGCTCTTCGATGCTATAAGAAGAGGGCTACAGGATGGTAAGATCGAGATAATTGAGGACGAGCGCGCAATCAACGATCAAAACTTTGCGCGCGACATCGCGGAGGCTCTAGTCGGTAAGATGGGTATCGGTCGGAAGGCGAATTGATGCGATGCCGTATGGCTTTGGGGTGCACAGAAAGAGATTGTTCAACCATCTCCATGCGCATGGCGAGCTGCACGGACAAATTCAAGCATGAAAGATGACATCTTGCGGCTGCTCTTGGCCCCGCAACCATGGCGCACCTATATTTGTCGTAGGGCTGTGCTGTTTCCAATGTCCATCGCAAGGCAGCTTTACGCCCGTATATACATCTTACGATGCTCTGCCCCTGAATGGCTATGCGAGATGAGCAACAAGGCTATGTGGGCTCAGGCGTTCTGCGCTAGGTAGCCGATGAACCGTGAGTGGTCACATCGCACAGCGGCTGGAAGCACAATGCTAGCGCTGATCCTGTGCCACTTGACGAACATCACCAGCTGCTTTTCCCGTCTTGTTGCTTTTGGAAGTATTGACTTTTCTACTGTCAGCTTCTATCTCGCAGCGTAGCTACACTCTTTTCGTCTTTCATCATGTTCGCACACACTAGTGTGCTGTCACTCGCTTTATCATGCATCATTAGCACTACCGCCGCGCTAGACTTGGATTTCCAGAACCAGGGTAATGACGATCGTTCCCATTTGCGCATTTAGAAGTTAACATCGATAGACTCCATCAAGAGTGCTGCGAAGACGCTTGCTAACGGTCTCGTTACTTTCTACAATGAGAGCGTGTCCGAGTCTGGAATCCCCGGCATTTTCCCCGATCCCTACTACTGGTGGGAAGCCGGTCTCGTCTTCAACGCGTTGATCGACTATTCCTACCTGACCGGCGATAGCCAGTATGATTCTATCGTCTCCGAAGGCATTCAAGCGCAGCTTGGTGAGGATTTTGCCTTTATGCCAGCGAATCAAACTGGACGAATTACCAACGAGGATCAAACCACCTGGGCACTAACAGCCCTGACCGCGGCCGAAACTGGCTTCTCACCACCAGAGAACAGATCGTGGGCTGAATACGCCGCCGAGGTATTCGATGTGCAGGTGCTAAGATGGGACGAAGAAACTTGTGGAGGGGGTCTTCGTTATACAATCTTCACGTTCCAATCTGGATACGACTACAAATCCAATGCTGCCACCGGCGACTTCTTCCTCCTGGCTGCTCGCCTAGCCAAGCTTACCGGCAACGAAACTTACTCTGAATGGGCGGATAAATCGTATACCTGGGCCAAGGACCGGGGATTGATCAGCGATGATTATGATGTTTACGACGGTACTTCTGCCGAGTTGAATAATTGCGAGGATGCCAATCGCATGCAGTGGTCGTACATCCACTCGGTATATACGGAGGGCTCTGCTATCATGCAGAACATCGTGAGTATCTCTCATTGTTTGACCCAGTCTCATACTAATAGCTACCGGTAGACAAACGGCGCACAGAAATGGACCGATGCTGTACAAAGCTTCGTGAACTCTTCCAATATCTTCTTCGAAAACGATATTCTCACCGAGATAGCCTGCGAGCATAACGGCCGGTGCACCTTCGATCAGCGTACTTTCAAAGGTATCACCGCACGCTCGTATGCTCGTGCAGTCGTCGCTGCCCCTTCCCTCGCAGAGCCGCTCACCAAGAAGCTCGAAGCGTCCGCCAAAGCCGCCGCCGGTATATGCGAAGAAGTTTCGGAAGACGTCAAGTGCTCGAACTCATGGCATCATACGGATAGTTTGGAAACTGCTAGCGACGGCAATCTAGGTGAGGTGTTCAGTGCGCTGGCTATAGTGCAGAGCTTGCTGTTCTCCAAGGCTAAACCGCTCGCTTCGAATGGGACGGAAGCTGGGGGTGGTGACAACGCGACGCAGAGTGGGGATGCGTCGGGTACATCTGGAGCTGAAGTGTCCAAAGAGACGGGCGCGGCAGGGACGATCGCTGCGAGTGTCACAGCGGTCTTGGCTGTGGCTTTTGCTGCGGCTCTCAGCTGCTAGAGTTATCTATCATAGCAATTTCAATTTTGCGGGGATGAACCTCAGCCAAGGGAAGATAGGACAAAGGTGCAATACGGTTATATTGAATCGCGTTCCATTCATCTCATCACACATAGTGATGTCAGGACTGTCTAGAAGACCGCGACAATACCGATATTGATGCTAAACACTCTCCATTGGTGTATCGTGCCTTCATCAACCCAATTAACGGTGAGTTGAACATGACTTCCATCTTTGCACTCGAAGATAGCTTCAGATCTTGCCTCAGAACGTCGACTTTGACTTTCCACCTTGATATCCAATGTATACGACGACGGGGATGGTCCATACTCACTCGAGAACTCCAAAGACAACATATCAAGTGGGCTTTCTTGAACGAGACGTGTATAAGTCATTGTTGTTGGATTCTAATCTTTTGGATGTCTTGGTATGTGTTCTGGAATATAGCTATGTAGGACGCAAGACTATCCTGTTATATCTACAAGGCGCTAACCTAATTTTTCGAAGAATTACTTTAAGTTATTAATAACATATAACTTATTAAACAAAACAAACTGTTAGTTTATACAAATAATAGTAACGCTACTCTTAGTGCGTTTAATAGCATCTCTAGTGCTTACTAATACTATGTTTAAGACCTTATAGCTTTCTATACTTACTAAGTAGGCTCTACCTCTATATATAGGCTGTATAGAATGCTAGTTATTATCTCTATAGAGAGAATATAGAATAATTCTAAGTATATAAGAGCGTATAGTAGCACCTACTAAGTAGCTAAGAAGCCTAATAAGGTAATATCTATACTTTAATCTACCTTCTAGTACTTATATATAAACTATTAGAATTTATAAGTTAATTCTAGTATTTGTAAGAGAAAAGAATATATCTAAGATAAGTAGTAATAATAGATCTCTACAGTTCTTAAATGCTTTTAGTAACATTACTAGTAGCTTCTACTTCTTTATTAGTACTTTCTTATAGATAGGTATAAGCTCTTCTAGTAAGAGTAGAGTTATCTTACTATTTAAGCTCTAGGCTAGAATTAAGTTATTACTATTACTTCTTCTTATAATCTCTTCTTATAGCTATACAAAAGCGCGCTTACCTTTTCTATATAAAAGTAGTATATTAATATTAAATAACTCTAGCAGATAATATATAATATCTTTCTAGTAACTTATAACTTAGCTAAATACCTAAGATATCTTTTATACTATATAGAGTGTATTAAGTAATACTACCTTATCTAACACTATATATCTACTTCTTCTATTAACTAGGCTATAGTAAAGTATTACTAGATTAATTCTTATAATATTAGAGATATCTTACATAAGTATTAGTCTATCTCTAAAAAATATCTAAAACTTATTATAGAAGAATATCTTTATAAGCGTAATTAGCTCTTATAGTGTTTAGCTATAAGTAAACTATTAACTTTTTAAGAGAGTTCTCTTAACGTTACTAGCTAGAACGTTCTTTAGAAAAGTATAATATTTAGTAGAATTTAAATACTAATAGAATATAGAGTTAATAGCTTCTAAAAGCTCTACGCTTAATATCTTATTAATATAGTATATATCTACCTATATATAAGCTAGCCTATCTTATACTACTTAGCTATAGGTAAATTTAATCTTCTAGTATTTAGCTTTTACTATAGTTAAAGGCTAGCGTAAAGGTAAATCTAAGAATAAAACTTCTTTAGAACTCTACGTATAAGATAAGATAGCGTAATTTAGAATATTACTACTAATAAACTTCTTAAGCTTATAAGTTATATAATTAATAAGATATATTTCTAAAGTATCTCTATAGTATATATAGTTTATATATAGTAGATATAGAATAGTTATATAGATAGTGTAATAGAGAAGATATTAGGCTAAGACTTCTCTACTCTAACGCCTACTACACTTACTTAAGATTAGATTATATAATTATATACTTATATATAAAATAGTTAATAAAGTAAATATATATACTTAAAAGAGCTTATAAAGATTTATATATTAATATTAAACTAGCTACTCTATATTATAGATAGATTCTAAGGTTTAGTGTAATTATCTATCTATTCTAATTAGGTATAGTATTATAATCTAATTAGGTTATTAAAGTTAAGTCTTAGAGTACTACTATTATGTAAGAGCTTATATAGTAATAGAGTAGATAAAATCTATATAAAGTATCTATAAGAGAATATATAATAGCTAAGAGTAAGCTAAACTATAGTCTTATAGCTAATATTAGCTATTTATAAAGTAAAGGTAAAAGCTATATATAATTATATCTATTATTATAGACTTATTATAGAGCTAGACTTTAGCTATTACTATTATAAGATATCTATAGTTACTTTAACTAGATATAGTTAGATTAATAAAAGCTATTATAGTTCTTGTAGTTATAGTATTAGTAAGAGTATTACGCTCTTCTCTCTCTCTAAATAATAGAGACTTTTATATTATTATAACATATAGTAGTTAGTAGTATATATTATAGTTCTTAGCTAGTATATAAAGTTAACCTTCTACTCTTAACTTACTTATCTATCTTATACTTTTCTTATAATAATATATAAATCTTTAAAATAAACTAATATATTATCTACTTTTCTCTTCTTTATACTAGCTATAGTTATATTCTTTACTCTCTAGGTTATAACTTTATTTAGTCTTCTAGATTTTCTTCTAGCTACGCTAGAGAATAGAGCTAGTCTTTATCTATTCTTTAGAGTATAGTTCTTCGCTAGCTACTATATTCTTTAATTCTTACTACCTACCTACTATACTCTCTCTTTTTCTATCTAGACTCTTACTACGCTAGTTTATAAGCTTACTATTTTCTTTTATAATATAATAATAGTAGCTCTAAAAGCTTAAGTACTTATATTTAAGTAAAGTTTAGGTGCTACTTACGTTCTCTCTTCTAGTAAGTAGTTACTAGTTAACTATAAGACTACTATTAAAATACTCTAGCGCTAGATTAATAAGTTAACTAGCAAAGTTACTATATATAAGTAACACTACAACGTTACTACTATTAACACTAACTATCTTATCTTCTACTACACTATTACTAAGCTAAAGCTAGAGCTTTAGTTAAAGTGTAATAAGATTTTCTAGCTAAAAGATACTATTATTTATAAGTATAATAATATAATAGTATTAACCTTTCTCTATAAGTAGAACTAGCTAGAGGTAGCTCTTAAGGCTAAGAGTAAAAGAGTAAATAAGCTAAAGCTAATTACTCTTTAGTATAGCTATAATATATACTAGTATAATACTTAGATTACTATATTTAATATCTTTAAGAAGTATATCTACTAGATAGTAGAGATAGAAAGTTTTTAGATAACTATTATAGTGTTATTTTTTAGAGCTTTTATAAGTAATACTAGTATTAACCTTATAGAGCTTAGTATTAATAGAACCTAGTTCTAGACTTACTTAGACTACGCTATAGTAGTCTATAATAGCCTCTTCTATTCTTTTCTTCTATAAGGTATATTCTTTTAATATATTCTCTACTAATTTAAAGACTATTTACTAATTATTACCTAGATAGCTTACGTCTTTATAGTATTCTATATCTACTATCTAGTCTACGTGTCTTTAGTAATAGAGTTATTAAGACTAGCTCTAGTATTATTATTACTTCTACTCTAGCTATTATAGCTACTATCTCTTTAGTACCTCTTATTAGCTATAATATCTTTAGTGCCTCTTCTACTATTATATAAAACGCACAGAATACCTTCTACGTAACTTAGTATATTACTTCTACTACTTCTCTATTTATATTTACTAGCTTTATAGCTCTTTCTAAGTCTTCTCTAGTAATACTATATCTAGTAAAGACCTTTACGTCTACTCTACTAGATTCTATTTCTATAGCGCTCTCTTAGCCTACTATAAGTAAGATAAGATAGATACACTTCTAGCTAAGTAAGAGGCTAGGTACTTTTAGCGTAGATAGTAGTAGAATTAGAAAGATAAGTTTAGCTTTAAGAAGGTCTTAAGCGCGTTAGATTTAGAGAGTTAAAGTAGAAGTGTACTTATACGCTAGTGTTAGTTATATATATTTTAGATTATAAGCGTAATTTTATACTCTTAATAAAACCTATTTAGATACGCTAAATATCTTCTCTATATCTAAAGTAACCTAATTATAGCTTTAGCTATATTTAATATCTACCTTTACTTTATATATATAGAGCTATATATAGTTAAAAAGTAGTTACTCTAATTAGCTACAAGAACCTTAAACCTTATTAGATAGAAGTTTATAGACATTACGTAATAACTATATATATAGATACTTTAGTAGAATATTAAACTATTCTAACTATAATATACTACTACTATTCTAAATAATAATATATTATATATACTACTCTAATAGCCTAGCGTAGCTATAAAAGAAAAAGAGCTCTTAGTATAAGCTACTAAAAGTAAATACTTTTTATAAAAAACTTTTTATAGAAAACTAGTAAAGCTATAAGCCTCTACGTAGTAAGTATAGAATTATTAATAATAGACTCTTTATAAAAGACTAGTAAAGCTATAAGTCTTTATATAGTAGGTATAAATCTATTAATAATAAAAAGTATTAGAAAGTTTACTATAATAATAATAATAATATTAAATAAAAGAAGAAATATATTAGTATAAAAGAGCTCTTTTCTTCTACTATATATACTCTAATATAATAATAGCCTCTTTTTTAAAGCTATAAGTTTTCTTAGTATTCTAGTAGTAAGAACCTTCTCTTTCTTCTCTAGTAATAATATACTTCTACCTTCTTACCTTATAAGGTATATCTAGCTTAGCTTCTCTACTAATAATATTACTACACTTATTACTACTATAAACTTAAGCTAAGACTAATTAATCTTTTCTATAAATAAGACGCTATAGCTATAAACTCTAAACTTTTTTTATCTTATAGAAAGCCTTATAGAGCTTCTAGAGAAGCTCTTAGCAAAGCTACTAAAG